AGGGAGGGAGGAAGGACGGGAGGGAGGAAGGACGGGAGGGAGGGAGGGAGGGAGGAAAAAAGGCATGGGGGACACAAGAAGGTAAAACAAAACAAAAACTCTTTTCCCTCCCACCCGCAGCCAGCAGAGAGCGCTGGTGCCACAAGCGGCACAACCGCGGAGCCGCTTAGCCTTCTCTGGGTTCTAACTGCCAAGAGCGAGGTACATTGAGGCTGTCCCTGTTGGGAGCCCGTAGTTGACTTGCTGTCGCTGAGCAACAGGAGAGTGGGCGGGATTTGCCATTCGCGTTCGTGCGCGCGACCTACCAGACGGAAGCGGAAGTGTCGGTGGCGCGCGAGTAGGAAGTGGTGATTCCTGGAATAGAGATGGCCGAGCTTGCTCCGCTGCCCCCACTACCCCCCCAGTTTAAGAGCATACAGCATCATCTGAGGACGGCTCAGGAACATGACAAGCGGGACCCTGTGGTGGCTTATTACTGTGAGTCTTTCCGAGTCGCCGTGCCCCTCTTTACCCTCCAGGGCCCACACACCACCCCTTGGTTTTTAAGGCAGGCCCCGCCCCTTCAGCTTTAGACCTGAGCTTTGACCTCTGGCCTGCCCTGGGAACCCAGTGGAGCCCCGCCCTTTTCAGGGTTTACCCCACCTCACCAGCTCTCCGCCCCTCGCAGGCCCCAGAGAGGCAAAACGTAAAAGCACGGTTGGTGTTCGCCGCCTCTCTGGTCTTGTGCTTAAATATTCTTAAACTGGCTACATGGGCTCATGAGCTAACACGCTGTCTTGAGGTTTTCTGTGTGTACTCAAGAGAGTCTCCTGTCTCGAAAATAACCTGGATAGTTAAGTAATTGTGCTGAGGCCAAAACGAAGCTCAGTGTCCCAAAGACAGTAATGATGTGTACAGAAGGAAGGTAGACTAATTGAAAACATAGTAATAAGTGCAGGTTAAGTAGGACAACATGCAAGCTCATTAAAAAACTCATAAATGGTGAAATGGAGAGTAGTTGCTACAAAACTAGCACTTGAATTTGACCATTTTCCCACCAATGAGAATTTTTTGTCTTGACTTCTTTGAATAATACTTGGGTTTGAGACATTTGGTAGTAATACTATGACTTTGGTTGGTTATGAAAAATACAGTCTACAGTTGGAGAACAGATTAGGTTGTTCAAACTTTTTCCTTTGCAGTAAGTCCAGTAGTTTTATGTAAACTTTAAACTGACTGCAAATAAAACAAGTGACCAAGCAACTGTAATCTTCTGTAAAGGGTTTTTAGCATTGAAAAGCTCAATATAATGTGTCCTCTGCTGTGAACATTGTAAGGTTTGCTAAAATCTGGTCTGTTGTCTTCCCTATCATACTCCAGTACCCCATTTTCATTTCTCAAGTGTACAAGGCCCTTTTAAACCTCCGTGTTCTTCAATACCTTGGAATGTCTGGTTTTTTTTTTTTTCTTCACTTGGCAAACTCCTCATGCTTCAAGATTTAACTCAAACGTAATCTCTTCTGTAGGCAGTAAGTTGATTATTCCCTAGGCTCTACTTCATTTGTTCAAATCATGCAGTATTAGTTCCATTATATTTGTTCTTCCAGTTCCTCAAGTAGGGACTGTTAATCATTTATTCACCTTTTATTTATTGAGTTTTCTTCCTGTGTATCAAACATTATCAGGCACTGTGGCTACGGTTCCTGCATTCATGGAGCTGGTACACAAGTGGGGGAAAGGGGATTAAACAATAAAATGAGAATATTATATGGAATATTAGAAGATTTTGAAGAAAAATAAAGCAGGGAAAAAGAATAGGGAGTACTAGGATTAGGGTGGTAGGGGGTGAGAAGCGGATTTCACTTTAAAGGTACTCGTGGAACGCTTCACTGAGTTCACATCTGAGCAAAGACTTGACAGGAGTGAAAGGCAGGCTTTGCATCATTGGAAAAGAGTATTCTCAATAGAGGGAATAACATATGCAAAAGTCATGAGGCAGGGGCTTGCTTGAAGGAGGATCAAGGAGCCCATTGTAACTGAAGTGGATGGAGGGAGGAGAAAAGTGATAAATGTCAGAGAGGTAATTGTAACAATGAAGTAGGAACCCTTATTCCTGTCTAAAACTAACTGCTATTCATGAGCTCTGTATTATATACCTTTGTGATAGCCAGGGGCTTTTATTTTCTGTGTCATCATCTTCTCCCTTTTGCTATATCTTTCTAAATTTGCCCCAGTTTCCTTTATTTAAAAAATAAAATAAAATTTTAAAAAACTCTCACTGTGACATTCTCCTAAAGTTATAGTTCTGTCTGCCTAACCTCAAAGTTAAGCTTAAAATAGTTGTCTGTGTTGTCTTTACTTTCCTATCTCATAGAGCCTTTCAGCTCATTGCAGCCTACTTTTCATGCCTTTTATTTCACTGAAACTGCTCTCCGCAGGGCCATAGACAAACATTTTCATTGCTAAATCCAAGTGGTACTTACAAAATATTTTTTGTTATAAAACATGCATATTAAAGAACACATACAATGTGTATACAGTTTAAGGAATAATAAAATGAACACCAAGGTACCCACTGTATTTGAAGTTACTAGACTTTTTAATTTTTGTCAATCTGGTGAGCATGAAATTCAAGCTAAATTTGCAATTCACTGAGTCTTAATGAGGTTGAGCATCTTTTCATATGTTAATTACCCTTTGTGATTCCCCTTTGAAATACCTATTTATTGCTTTTGTCCTTTTTTTTATTTCAGTGTTTGTCCTTTCTTAAATGTAGATATTACTCTTTTGTTACATGCATTGCAAATGTCTTCTCCAAGTTCATAGTTTGATTTTTCACTCTATTTATGAAGTCCTTTGATGTTCAAAAGTTCTTAATTTTAAAGTATAGCTAATTTATCACTCTCTTATAACTTATATTCTGATTTTCTAGGACTTGATTTCTTTTCGTCTACCTTCTTTGGGACTTTGGCTTCCTGGATTTACAGATGGGTATCATAAATTCTGGAGAATTCTCCGCTATTATCTGTTCAAGTATTCTCTACTGAAATTTTGATTAGACATGTGTTGCACTTTTCTCCTTTATTTGTCTCTTAATATTTTCATAGTTTGCATCCCTTTGTCTCTCTGTGCTATGTTCTATGTAATTTCTTTAGGTCTGTGTTCACCTCCATATATCCTATTGTATCACCCATTTATTGAGTTTCTATGTTCATTTTTTATTTCTGGATGTTCTCTTTTTTGTTGTTTTTAAATCAACCTAGCCATTTCTGATAGTCTTTTGTTACTATATTTTTTAAACACTTGTATTTCTTTAAATGCTTTAAAAATACTTGTTTATATTTGCAGTCTCGTAATTCCTGTAGCTGCCATATATATGGGTCTGATTTCTGTTGTGTAACAGAAGACTGCTCTTGGTGACTTATTGTGATTTGTGCTCTACACATACCAACCAGTGTTCTTCAAACTTCAGTATGCAAGAAATTCTACAGGAATCATCTCCCCAATTCTCAGCTTGTTGCTTCTCTGACAAAGCTCCTTTGATCAGGGTAGCAAAGTAGTATGCTGCTTCTCTTTTCCCACATCCTGTTCAAATTGTTCTTCTCCTACTTTAAAGAAGAAAGGCAAGCTCTCATGTATCATGAGTATTTTTATGGTGTGTTGCCCTGGGAAGGAAGGTGGAAAACCTTCCACGGTGTCCAGAAAAAAGGGACAATTCAAATTACTGGTGTAGTGAAGTCTCTGTTAATTAAGGTATTAAGGAGAGCATCCTGTCTTTCCTGTTTTATATGGAAGAAGATCAGAGTAAAGAATAAGCATTTATTTGAAAATGCAGGGCATGAGAAAGGATGTCAAAAGCAACATTTTAATTTGGGGAATGAAGACAGAACATTTTATAAGGGGGAAGAGGAGGAATTATCCTTAGATATTAGTAGCCATTGTTTGATCATTTGGGATTTTATCTGGAAGGGCGGAGAGGAACAGTTTGGGACCAGAGTCATGTATGAGAGAGTGTGAAAAGATTTAGCTGTGGGGACGAGGAGAAGGAAGGACCACAGTGGAAAAGTCTCTTTCATATGTTGCTTACATTTATAAGTATATCTGTTAAGGGTAAAGCCTCATGTTAAAACCAGGCCTGTGTTGCAGTGTTCTGAATCCCCAAAATGTAAGAGTTTTCATGAAATGACCTAACCTTTTCATTTTCTATTCATTATTTTAAAGAATATCATTCCTGATACAAGAGCCAAACAACAAAAGAGAAATGCTGAAGTGGGTAGTGCCTTGTTTCATCCAAGTGACTTAAGGATCTGTGGCTTACTGAAATTTTGGAATTAGAATTCAGATGAGATGAGGCGAATGCAGACGTGGCTTAACATATTTATTCGAATTGAAAAATTATGTCATATTTTTCTGAGAAAGTAAGCCTCCACTGGCTGGCTGGTTTGGCATTAACAACGGGTTTTACTCTTAATGTTATATGGCAGACATTCTCAAACTAAATGAGCCTAATCCTCAGCTCTGAGGTTTTTTGGTTTTTTTTTTTTTTTTCAGAAATACATTAAAAACAAGTGATAAGAGAAAAACATTTAAATTGGTTTTGAGTTTTGTTTGTTTTGTTTTCTTTGCCAAAGGATGTTGAACAGTATTTCAGTTTTCCCAATCCTGTTGGTGTCTTAGAATAATCCTGTCTCAGCGTCATGAAAGAAAATGATAAATCTTTGTAAGATTTTTTTGTATGCTTTACAGAATTGAGAAAGTGAATAACTAATGATGGGGTGACAAATCCTTTTCTAGTTTTAAAATAAATTTTGAAGCTGACCTATATGAAATGTCAGCTAAGAGATTATTAAAAATAGTATTTGATGATAGGTGATTATATGCTTTTTAGCCTATAACCCAGAAGGAAAGGAATTAAAAGAATTCAGTGATTTTGCTGTGATAAAACTTCCATTCTTATCTGCTGCTTTATATGAATGAATTTTCTCTCATGTTAAATTTGTAAAAATGTAAGTGGGAACAGAACCAATTCTGGTTCTGTATGACAATAAATCATACTGATTCCTAGATACACAGTTTAGCTGTGTATAAGATGCATTTCCAATAAATTTTACCCTTTTTTAATGATTGAAATGTGTAGCATTTATACTGTTTTGATCAATTATGCATTACAATAATCACATAATTTTAACACTCAGAGGAAATCCAGAGAAAAAATTTTAACACTTAGCATCTTATCTCACAGGAAATTTTGATAAGTTTAAACTTCAATTTTTATACATTTTTTGTTGCAGAGAATTATGATAATCAAGTTAGGACTTTTGAGCATACAAATACATTCTTTTAATAAATTCTATAGGATAAGTAAATGGGAGTATAGGTTAAAAAGTTACAAAATGTATTATTTCTGATGTTTAAAGAAGGAGCTTTGTATGTTTTAAAATTATATCAAGTTGTTATGATACAGTTGAAAGAATGCTATAATTTTTAGATGTATATAT